AACGAAGCTCGTTTAAACCCCCCATCCTATCATGACTAAAATAACTTCAGAAAATACTACACGATAATCAGTATCACAACTTGAGTTAATGCCGATTAGCAAAAGAGTATCAGTCTTTCGCATATGTCGAAACGTTGCATGATCCTTGGCGTCCACTGTACTTAAGCATCTTACAGGGAAGAAGCAAATATCAGGAGATATTGCGAAGTCCTTGAGACAAACCGAACCAAACATGACTAAGACTTACGGACCGCCTAAGATACACAAACCCGACGAACCGCTACGACCGATAATATCGTTAATCGGCGCGCCTAATTATAAAATCTCGAAGTGGCTATTTCGAAAACTTCTCCCATTGAAAAAAGATTGCGAAACATCAATCAACAATTTCATTGAGTTTCTGAACAAATAACAAGGACTTGAAATAGCAGCAGACGAAATAATGGTATCATTTGCTGTTGTCTCTCCTTTCACATCGATTCATTTAGATTTAGCGAGGCAGTACACAGAAGAACTACTTAATTCCTACTAACAAGACTTTCCTGTATCTGCCTTGCTTGAACTCTTAGATCTGTGTCTGGAAACAAATTTTTCGTTCACACAACAATACCATAAACAGATAAAAGGAGCCCGAATGGTGTCAGCCATTTCGGGCGTCTTGGCTGAAGTGACGACGCAAAAATTCGAAGCTATGGCCCTACCACTAGTTAATCCCTTAGTTGTGGGTACGCTATGTCGATGATGCGTTTGTCATTGTTAAATGGGACCAGCTCAAAACACTGAATGACTTCAGTAATTCAACGATGCCAGGAATCACATTTACGCTCGAAAAAGACGTTGAGAGTAAACTCTCGTTTCTTGACGTCCTCGTACAGCGCAATACTGACGGAACATTTCAAACATTGACTTACCGGAAATAAGCCCACACGGGTGTTATCCTACGAGAGCAACCATCCTGTTGCTTATAAGGTAAGTAATGCTAACACCCAAATCAAGTGAGCAAGAACGCACAATTCTAGCACCGAAATTTACCAAAACGAACTTAATTACCTGTTTAAACTTTTTTCAAAAAATGGCTACCCTAGGGTGTTTGTGCATTGCGACGACAGGAGATAAAAACAAAAGGATAAGGAACTAGATTGTTCTGATCAGGCGCCCAATCCAAGAAGTTTGCGAACACTGAACTCGTTAAAAGACACCCGAGGAAGCACCAGATCCAAGTGGCGCACAAACCAAAGACCACACTGCGAAATCAGCCTGTACACCCCAAGGATAGGGTTGGCTATTTGGACAGGAAAGAAGTCGTTTATAAAATTCCTTGTGGCGGCTGCAATGCAGTTTATTGTGGACAAACAGGAAAGTCAGCCTCTACACGCTTATACAAACACCAATTAACAGTAAAGAAGCGAGATCATTTGTCCTAAGTCACCATGCACACACTCTAAACAGGGCACGAATTCGCATGGGACCAAACTCGCATTATAAGCTCCTGCCAATTTAGGAAAGCGTGGATTTTTAGAGGCCATTAACTCCCACAAACCATGCATTAATAGGCACGTCGAAGTGCATGCGATGTATATCAAAGACGTCAACCAACAAGCCCTGCTATTGAGCAAAAATGACTAGGCATCATCGATTTTTTT